TGCAGCAGTTCGTCACCAGCATAAGTCTGCCTTGCTACGCGATATGCGCAGACCCTTATATTAGTATTTGATAGCTGCGCAGTTGCAGTCACGTGACGTACATGCCTGGCGGAGTTGCATCGATTATTCGTGACAATAGGCCCGTGTTTGTTTCCAACAGAACCTAGATCTTGTGTGTTCAAACTAGAAACCTTTTTATCTGTTCATCAGTGTATGACAACCTGCATATACCGCAATGTTCCAGATATTTTGGTGATTTCTCACTTCTATCATAGTTCTTGGAAATACGTAACTTTTTCCCTCAATCTTATAAGCAATAATTCTTGAAATAGAACTCAACAGCTAATATTTGTTATTATCCCTCGCCGCACGTTTAGCACGAAGCGGGGGATATAGTATTTGTCTCCGTACGTACAATTGAAATATCTTAAGAACCGTTCTCTAGATTCTTTTTCATATTTGGTACCTCGGTTCATCACAGTATAAGAAAGGTCCAAGTCAGGTTTGGTGACCTTGACCTTCATTTCACGGTCACAAGGGGACTTTAACGTTTTTTTCCTGGATGTTAAGCTATCTTCATATCATGGTGACCTTTGAGGACCATCAACAACTCACGGAATAGAATATAATAACCGGATGGCCAGTTTGGGGGAATTTGTTCGAGAAAACAAGAACTCTGTTTCAATACATCCCTCTTACTCATTAATAAATTCATAACAAATAGAACACGAAATAGAACTTATGTCGCTTTTAGAAAATGAGACGCTGACTGAACAAAACATCCAGCTAGATACATATCCCGCAGACCCCAGAATATCAAATTGATCATTTTGCCCCTCAACAGCCCTTGCAGCTGCAATGCACAGACACAGAGACAGTCATCAACATACTCTCTACCTCACCGAGTTTGTGTAATAAACACCCAGACATAAACCCTCCCAAGCACATCGACACAGCAGGAAAATCATTTCAGAATCCGACACTAACTTGAATATTTAAATGTTAAAAATGAACCATGCTCATGTCTGCATAATCTTTCTCTGATTCACGATGGCAACTTCCATTTCAAATATATATTATTTACATTTACAACACATGGCACTAGCAAACTTAACCCCAGCAAAGATGATTGAGATTCATTATGTGAACAATTTTATTAGAACATCATGTTCCAGTGTGTTCATAGTTCGTCACATGGAGAAACATCAACATTCATTGCAAGTTTACACCTTTACACTGCCTCCCCAGGGTAACATACATGTAATTACATAATCAGCAATGCTTGTAGGCCCCAGAAGAGCATCATGTTTGACAGCATAACTGGCGTGGGTCACTACAAGCACAGAAAGAAATGCACGTTGAATGCTTTATCACAGTTTGGCATATCTGCCATATAAACAGTTATGCTTAGTGATTATGTATTTACAGAGGATCATAATGTAAAAGTGTAAATTTTATTTGTTGTTTTACTGGCAGGGATGCATCCAAATTTTCACAAACCTGGGCTTTGATAATTGACTGATTTAAGAAAGTGGGCCAACACCTATCTGGACAAGGGCCAACATGTTTTATAATTTTGAATAAGAGAATGACCTCACCATTTGAGTAATTACTAAAGTAGTATTCATAGTGTTTTTTTGTTGATGATATATATCGCAACGTTATTTGGTGAAATGTGGGGACTGACACTTTCTGTGACTTTGCAATGTAAACTGATCACAGGATAAATATGTCTAAACTGGACACTCATAAATGAAGATGTAGTTTTTTGGTCTTTGACAAACAGTCTGTGAGCTGAATGTTGTAGTGTGCATATCTGACACTGGCCTATTGTCACTATTAAACTTTTAACTTGACGTGTGTGTCACGTGACTGCAACTGCGCAGATATCAATTACTAATGGCTGTTAGCGGGGATTGACATACAGTTTGAGATGTTGAATGACCCAGAGTACATGCGACACGAGCCTGTTGTGACAGACACACCAGCAACTCCTTGACATGTGTGTCACGTGACTGCAAAAGCGCAGTTCTCAATTACTGATAGCGTCTGCTGCATATCCCATACCTCGTGCGACTTGACCTTGTGACGAACTGTAACATGCACGGAAATATCATCTGGTGAATGTAAGTACGCTTTCAATTCATATTACTCATTATGTTTCATTAAGTTGGATGGGAACGGTATACTATACGAAGGTTTGAGCTATAGTTTTTGTTGTATACCGGAACGCATACTTTCATCATTTCGTTACTTTCTTTCATCATATTGTCATTGCCTTTCATCAATCTGATTGCAATATACACATCTCTATACATAAACACACACCCGGGGACCGCCTCCGTGGTGTAGTGGTTAGAGCGTCCGCCCGGAGTGTGGTAGGTCGCGGGTTCGATCCCCCACTGCGTCACACCATCAGACGTTAAAATATGGTACGTGTTGGTCCCTGCCTGGCGCTCGGCATTAGTGGGTACAACAAGGACTGGTCGGCTCGGAGTATCTCATCACCATGTATGTATCATAGTAGTGTTGGCATTCCAGTGTCACTCTGCAAGTATGTATGTATCACCATGTATGTGTCCCCTGCATCATGGTACCCATCACCATGTATGTATCATAGTACCCATCACCATGTATGTATCATAGTACCCATCTCCATGTATGTATCATTGTACCCATCACCATGTATGTATCATCATGTACCCATCTCCACGTAGTATCATAGTACACATCACCATGTATGTATCATAGTACCCATCACCATGTATGTATCATAGTACCCATCACAATGTATGTATCATAGTACCCATCACCATGTATGTATCATAGTAACCATCACCATGTATGTATCATAGTACCCATCTCCATGTATGTATCATAGTAACCATCACCATGTATGTATCATAGTACCCATCTCCATGTATGTATCATAGTACCCATCACCATGTATGTATCATAGTACCCATCACCATGTATGTATCATAGTACCCATCTCCATGTATGTATCATTGTACACATCTCCATGTATGTATCATAGTACACATCACCATGTGTATTATAGTACCCATCACCATGTATGTATCATAGTACCATCACCATGTGAAGGTTGGGTGGGAGGGAGAATGGGGAAGGGAAGGGGGGGTGAGAGGGGTTGGGGGTTATGAGAGAGGGGGAGGAGGGGCAGTGGGTGTACGGGCAGTGTGTAGGGTGGAGGGGGAGAGGAGGGGCTGTTTGGGTGAAGGTAGGGGTAGAGTGCAGAAGTGACAGGGGTAAAGGGGATGAGAGAGGGGAAGTGGGGGTGGGATGTTTGGGGAGGGTAGGGGTAGATGTCTGGGGGCAGGGGTAAGGGGAATGAGAGAGGGAGAGAAGTGGGGGTTGGGTGTTTGGGGGGTAGGGGTAGAGCGTCTGGGGGCAGGGGAATGAGAGGGGTGAGAAGCTGGGGTTGGGTGTTTGGGTGAGGGTAGGGGTAGAGTGTGAAGGGGGCAGGGGTGGGGAATGAGAGGTGTTGTTTGTTCTGGGCCCGTTGGTGCCATGGTGGTTCCATTCTCGGTGGTCAGTCTCAACCCAGCTCGTGGTCATCTAAGTCTGCGTCCTGCAGGCACCTATTGTCTTTCATGTTTTCTAGGATTTCGAGCCAGACATCTTCCACCTAAAATGCAAAAACACAAAAGTTAGAAAATGTTACCTGGTAACACTTAGAAATGAAATGGTTTGGTTTTATGGTATGATAATAATTATGTAATTACATTTTAAAGAAAAAGTAATAAAATGATTTGGTTTTATGGTATGATACAATATATAATATTTGTATGTAACAGTAAAATTTAACAGTAAATATACTTACATTTGCCACTGGAACTAAAGGCAGACGAGCGCAGCGTCGGATGAACTTGGTGACATCCTCGTTGTTCTTGTAGTCTGTTTGGAGGTCACACACAATGGGAAAAATGAAAGTAACATCCTTTCCAGGCGGCAAACTCGCGTAAACTGTGCCTGGGCCATTGTGAAAATGATACTACCTCTTGAAACTTGATAGTATTTATACAATATGTAACACATGTAAATGTACTGTATGGTACTGATTGAGTGAACACATTAATCAGTATCATTATAATCTCAGTGAGCTAAACTCAGTAAATGAACTCAGTAAATTCAAATCATATTTCACAACATAGTTCAGAATTTTACAGCACCCAGTGATTTAACCCCTCACAACACCAACACAACAATCAAAGGAGATACAACTGCAACAACAAACTTCTACTTACGGGAATACCTCACCTGGAATATTGCTGAGTGCGGCGTTAAACAACAAACAAAACATAACCAAATTGGATCCTTGTCGACAGGTACTGTTTTATTCTTCTTCCTGATGTTGTTTCAGGTCAAACAGGATATAAATTTTCGCTGGCGTGCACAGTTACAAAGTGGCCTTCACGTCGTCAGCAGGTGGACCTTCTGACGTGTTTCTTTTAACGATGAATAATCGAGACCTTTTTTTGGATCAGATCGACATCAAGTTCTGTAGTGAATTCTGTTCATCGTTGAAGTCATGACACGGGCAGCGACAATCACAGGGTGGCTCTTCACGATAGGACTTATTTCAGTCGGTAAGTTATCTATTGTGACATAACAACGAGTTGCGTTTTCGCGACCATGACCTCTACTCTGTTTCACCAAGTATACGATTATGATGAAGAACGTATTCCTCATACCAAATAACCTATTTTCGCTTTAGATAATACTCCAATTATTTGTTCATTTTTTGTCATGTTCCCCATTTTGTCGTTGACAATGTTCACATGCAGGATTGTTATCAAGTCGATGACACACCCAGCTAGGTCGCCAGGTTTTATAACCAGTCCGGCGAGTCACTGTGCAGTGGAGACACTTGTTAAAGCCTGACGCCTGTCTTACACGGAAGTACGTCGGCTGTACCTAATGACCTGCTGTAACTCACTGACAGTGTAGAAGGGTAAGAAGCTAGGTCATTCTCTTAGGTCATACAGAGAGGCCCAACTGAGTCTAAGGTTCGTGGAGTCGAGTCAGATATTTGGGCAATTCAGCGTGAAACGTAAGGTTTGAGTTGTTCGTAGGCAGTTGTATCAAAACAAACGTGTCTAAAATAGAAAGGACTAGTCTTCCTCCCGGCAATATATTGATGGGTGTTTTTTTTTGTTCTCCTTCAACTTCCATACTTCTCCTCCTCTAATGAAGTTCCAACACCCCCACCACCACGCCCCACCACCTCTTTCCCTTGCTCCGCTTTGTGCAAGATATTGCACATGAAAAAGCGCAATACAAAGTAACTAATATTATCAGCATTAGCGGGAATGCACACAGCATGAACGCTGCGCTGTCGATATTAATATATTCATATTAATACAACTTACGCATGTGCTGTCAAATTATGCGCTGAAGAACATAATCATTAACATATCCGCTTATACTATTAGCCTGCGGGCATGGGGGTGAGGGTAGGTGTGGGTGTGTGGGTAGGACTTTTTGTGTGTGGGTAAAACTGGGGGTACGTTGTTACATCATCATAAGTGTTTTTTATTTATATTTTCTTTCTTTTTTTCTTTTTTCTTTTTTTTTTTTTTGGGGGTCTTAGGATTTATTGTATTCACAGAAAACTCCACCGCGTGTTTTTCATTATCATACGTGTTATTTGTTTTTGTTTTTTGTTATTCTTGGAATTGATTTTATTCATGAAATGTAACGACGGATTGTATCACCTTTGTTGTTTGCTAGTTTCTTTATTTTATTCTTTGTTTTGTGTTTTTCGTTTTTTTTGTACATAAAACAAGCTTAATACATGTCCAAATAATCACGATCAAACGACTTTAAGCTTAATGTACCTGTGTTTTCCTGACATTTATTTTCAATCATGAATTGTAAAGGTATACAGATTTGAATGTTTGGTTATTACGAATGATTGCGTAAAATCAGTGCGAGCTTTTGTCAAACACAGTTTTTCATTTGTACATTTATACTGAGTTTTCTTGGCCCAGTTGTCCTGTTCTGTAACAGTTATGAATTATACCTACAATTTATAGCATATAAGTGATAGATATCGAGTGAGTGAAGAAATGCAACAATATCACAGCAGAGGAAGGTAGGACAGGTAAATGGTCTGTTGACTGCATGAGCAACTAAACTGATGTACCAAAAAGATACACACCTGGTGTTTGGGGAATATGAAAAACCTATGTATAAACTTTTGTCCTTACGCCCAAGGTGTGGAATTTCAACATTACTTACTGGTGTTTTCCTATTATGGAAGCAAAACTGTGTCATCTAACCCACTACAAGTAAATGGATAGGTTAAATCTGGTGGTGTGTGATCCTGTGCATAGAGCCCTAATCACAAATCAGTTGAAGTTAAGCAGCGTTGATCGTGGAGGAGTCCTTGGATGGGTGGCCGTGTTTCGCAGCTATATATAGACTTATGATAGTTTCTTGGACTGGACCACAACAACGAAGCACATGTGACACATATGGTCTCGCCCCAGGCAAGTGAATTTGTTCAAAAATTGCCTCTGTTCATCCAATATTTAGCGAGTGCCTCACAGGCAGGTTGGGTTGTAACGAGTTAGCGCACTGAGCGCGTACAAGTGATTCGATACATACGCTTTATAAATAGCCATTATTATATTATGATTATTAAATTTATTCACATTAACATCCTAATTTGGGAGACTGTCAGATGTAAAGAGAGATGAGGTTCTGCTGTTACTTGAAGTACAAATCTATATGCAGTGGAACCTGACAACACAGGTCTAATCCGGCACCTTGTCTAAACCGGCATTTTTATTTCACCGCCAATTTATTTTTTGGGCGACTGTTTCACTGTAGAATGTTCGTCCCTTGTCTGAGTATTACACTTTTAAGTGGTCAATATAAAGGCAGGACATCATCACTGTACAGGCAAAACATTCTCGTCGGTGAACATCACACGTCGCCAATCACGCATCGGCCAACGTCCAACTCACCTGGCCCATGTCAGTCGACGACGTCAGTTTTGAAGAGTCAGATGCACTCCGCGGTAGGATCAACGTGCTTGAATATCATGTTCTCTTAGTCGCTGGTACACTGTATGTCGACTGATACGGTGTCCCATTGACGTCGCTGCCGTTGACGTCGCCGTAGCAAAACATTTTTCTCAGATGAATTGTCCGGATGTGGCGATCATCACTCTAGGCCTGGCTGAGGTATTGCCTGTTTGTCTGATGACAGTTGCTCGGGTGCAGCCGAAGATTCTGGCAAATTCATTTCACATTAACAGCCCAATTTGGGAGACAGTCAAATGTAAAGAGAGATGAGGTTCTGCTGTTACTTGAAGTACAAACCTAAATACAGTGGAACCTGCCAACACCTGCCTAATCCGGCACCCTGTCTAAACCGGCATTTTTATTTAACCGCCACTTTATTTTTGGGGTGCCGGTTTAGACAGGTTTCACTGTAGAATGTTCGTCCCTTGTCTGGGTATTATTTATATTAAGTGGTCAATATAAAGGCAGGACAATTGTCACGGGGATGAATGTTCAGGTGTTTATAACAGTTAAATTACAAACATTTTCTTTCCAGGTATTTCTCATGTGTATGGATTAAACTGACAGCAAAAGATGAGACGGGGACTATAGGACCCCTCCCTGTGACTGTCAAGTGTGACTATGTCGTGCCAACAGGAGAAACACTTTTTTCAATAACCATGAGTAGGAAGAGAGCTACAGAGCCAGGTTTCACAAACATTGCAGTGTTTAGACCATCTGCAAGCTCATCACTCTATGATGCAAGTGTTACACAGGAGTTTAAGAGATCGGACAACTCTCATCTTATCTTATCCAGTGGTTCCACAAGTGTGCGATTTGATCGTGTTGAGTGTGAGGATGAGGCAGCTTACAAGTGTATTGCTGCTTACCAAACAGCTTCCAACACGCCCGCTTCAGAAGAAGCAGAGATGAATCTTCTCTTGCTAGGTAAAAGGCCTTGATTTCCGTACAACTCCACAGGCGCGTCTAGATTCGTTGAACAATCCACCTGTGAAGATACTGATTAGAATTGGTCTTCACTAACCCACGCTTGTCGTTAGAGGCGACCAATGGGATCGAGTGGTCGGCTCGCTGACCCAGCACAAAGGCCGAAAACGTTTAATTGAGTTTAAAACAATAACAGAACAACTTTCAGTCTGGTTTGCATCCCTGAAATGCACAGCAACACACCAACACGTGTTCTGTGCACATCATTCAAAACGAAACTGACATGTTTACACGAAAATCGTAACCCGTTGTGAATGGAATAATCATTTTAAACCCATCAATCACACAACTTGGTTCCAAAATAATATCAAGCCAAAATAAAAAATGTTTTACAATATAGTTTACCACAACTTCGTGATCTTGGTATACGCGGGAATACATTTTGTTCCATTGCAGCTGAGCCGTTGAGACCAATCATAACACCGTCTCCTCCAACTAGCACTGGCTACACAGAAGGGCAACAGGTTGAGTTCCGGTGCCAGGGAGCTGTTGGAAAACCTGCCGGAGACTTCCTGTGGTTCCGGTACCTTGGCAACACCTTTACGGACATTACCAGTCTGGCCAGACTAAATCCGCCCTATCCGAGTTCAGGAACTTGCACCTCTGAACGAATAAGTCAGCTCACTCTGAATGTCAGCAGACTGGACAATGGGATGATCATCCGATGTGCTGCAAACCACTCTACACTCACAAAGCCTACAGGATCCAAGACATGCAACTCTACATGTCGGCAAACTGACACCATCACAGTTTTCTGTAAGTAAATATATCAAGAAGGGGAATATGTTTATTATACTTCACCAAGTAATGTATGTGACTCGAGATCTCCTGACAAGTTCAATGTGTTTTAACTGTTGTTTTTGAAACCACCCAGCTGGCGTGCTTTTGATAAGACTTCGTTCTGTGAATGTTAATTTAAAACGAATAAAAACGAATGTGAGTGGGTGGGTGGGTGGGTGGTCAGGCTCGCTGACTAAGTTGATTCAGTCTTTGCATCCCAATTGTTTAGATCTATGTTTGTACTGTTGATCACTAGATTGTCTGGCCCAGACTCCATTATTTGCAGCCAATAAAGCTTGATTATTGCTAACAGAGGTGTGTAACCGCAAACAAACTAATTGAGTAAGCTCCATACATCGATGTCGTCCAGTGTTGAGGCAGTTTATGCTTTCAGATACTTTCAGTGACAGTGACCCCGATGTCAGCTCCAACCCATCAGGGGCACACACCGTTGGCGACACCGTCACCCTGAAGTGTAACGCTGTTACCAACCCACCAGCGACCTACACCTGGCAGAAAGAAGGAGAGGATAATTCCACATCACCTGGCGATGAATTGAGACTTTCTAATCTAAAATTGAAGATTCTGGAACATACACATGTTTGGCGACCAATGTTGTTGGGGGTGTGACGTACAATGCATCAAAGTCCCTCAACATCAATGTTGGTGAGTAAAGACTACTGGTTTTCTTATATATTTTATGATATCGGATCTAAAGCAAATACCCAAGGAAACATTCTGGAAGATCCTGATTATTCTTTACAAAGTGATATTCCTACTAATTACACAGACAAATGTGCCACGGGTGGAGAAGGCTGTGGAACGTTCCAGTATATGACAGAAACCTTTTGAAAGGTTTTGTTTCCACACCACTGTAGACGTCTGAAACTTTATATCGAAGTACTCATCGTTAATACTTCTGTGTATGTATCTTGCTTGTATTGTGGTCAATTGTAATAGTCAGGATCAGGAGCTTTGCGCCACGAATAACAAACATGTCATGTAATCATATTTTGAAGTTTATTACTTGCTGAAGTAAGTAAATCAGTTATTTATTTACAAATGCACATGAGATTGTAGCAGCCACCCAGTGTTAGAGCCGAGGCTTTAAAGTGCTAAATAGCAAGATGAATAAGGTACTGATATGGCAGATATATCTGAAGTTGTTGTAGGAATGACTTGTATATCTTTGCACGAGCATGATCATACTGTGACTGAACTAATGCATGTATTCCTCTCTCTCTGTCTCTCTCTTCACCAACATCTGCAGTTGCTACAACCACATCCCCTCCCACTACAACCGCTACGAGTACACAAAGACCTTCTCCTGGAAGTACTGACGCTGTTAAACCAGGACCTCCAGGTATGTTGACCTGTTAACTGTAGTCATATGTCAGTCACATGTCTGTCATGTCTCTTCATGTCATGTCTGTCGTGATGAGCTGTAACAATATACTTCTGTCATGTGACATAATATGCATCATATGATGTGCTGTAATTACACCTCTGTCATGTGATGTGCTGTGACTGTGCTGTTTTCAATCATGTGATGTGCTATGACCGTGACTCTATCGTGTGATGTGCTGTCACCTGTTTGTGGTCACAACTTAATTGTTAATTAGAAGAAGTTTTACGTCTTTGCACGGGCTTGGTAATATTTTGGTTAGATTTTATTTTATCTCGTTATGCTATATTCTGTATGCGTTGGACTCATTATCCAAACAAAAATGTTGGACCTCAGATTCAGCTTCATGATGTAATACATTGCTTGTGTTATTTACATGCTTACATGATTGTATTTTCAATTCTTACGACATCTTTCTCTCAATCATTCCATCCAATAGGAAAATAATCGAGACTGGTTATTCTCTGGCGTCGACATTTTCAAATTTTTTATTGATATAATTTATTTATCTGAGTAGTTTCTATAAATGATGTCACATAAACTAGTGCTCAAACGAAAGTATACAGTGTGTTTGGCCAAATTAGAAAAGAAACGAAAGTTTCAAGCATTCAATACTACAGCAAATGTACACAATTTCATTTTATACAAGGTCGAAAGAACCGTTTGACTGACAGTGAAAGACACGTGGTATCATAGTCTGAACTTTTACACAAATCAACAATGTGTTTTTTTCTGCAAAACATCATCAAATGTTGAATGAATAGTGAGTGTGACCACCATTGGCTTCAATTCATGCCAAAACCCGTCGACACATTGATGACGTAAGATTATGAATGACGTTAGGCGTGCCGTTGCCATTCATGTAGGACAAATTGTTCCAGTTTTTGAGCGTAGACAGGTGGCGCTGGTAGTCTTCTCATTTGTCGATTCAGGTATAAGTGCTCTATCGGATTCATGTCGGGAGAACCCGCTGTCCAAGGCAAAACAACCATGTTAGCGTTATGCAGAAAGTCGTTTGTCAGTCATGCTGTATGAGCCTTGCGTTATCGTGTTGGTAGACAATACCACGTGGTTGTTGCCGGATACCTGGAAACACAACTGGTCGCAAAACGTCATTCCCGTATCTTCGAGAATAATCACAAGTCTCCTTTTGAGTCAGATGCACTCCGCCAAAGGTATAAATAGAGGATACTAAACGACCTTCCGTGTAATACCATTTGTATTAAAAGAGTTAATGATTTGGTATCAAACGAGAGAAAGCGAGTTTGATACTAAATCTTTCAC